GGGTCCTGGCTGGGGAGGGCCCAGGGCTGGGGACAGGGCTCTCAGCACCCGCCTGGTCTTTGGGAATGGAAACAGGGGACTGCCAAACACACCTCTGCCTTTGTGGGGGCAGCACAGGATGAATGACAGCGCTAGGCATGCAGGCTTTGGGGCAGCTGGGCAAGGACATCAGCATTCCCAAGGGGAGCCCAAACCCACCATGAGCTGGGATGCAGGTGGTCTTCGGGGCTGTGTAGGGAGATGCTCTCAGGGAAGTGGTGGAGTTAGCAATCTCCTGGAACCAACAAGGCAGGATCACGAGCCTTAGCTAACCAGCACCTCCACTTTGAGTGGACCAACAGGCCATAATTGCCTGCCCAGCCCATGACCATCCTTCCCTGTAATCCTACTCTGCAGCCGCTGCACTGTATTGGAGCTCCAGGGCAGCTCTGAGATGGTGCAGCTGTAACCTGGGATCAGGCTGCTAGGAAACAGCGGTGTGAGAGCTGCATTTAAGCTCAGGCCGTCGCATTGCCTGAGCTGTGTTGCAGCAATGCCCATGCCAGCCTTGTCCTTTGCCAGACCTGGCCTGCTCCCTTGGCTTCTTGGTTTGGCCTTGGACCTGCCATGTCACCGCAGAGTGGTGCCGATTGTTGGACTGTGCCTGACCTTGGCTACCACCACCAATCCTGCTCTACTCTTCTTGTTCGGCTGTTGTGGAACGGCACCTTGCCTGCTCCCCGAGAGTCTGGGACCTCCTGTGTCTTTGGGATTCATTTTATTGGGTAGGAACTGTGGGGCACAGCATGGCCACAGGCTTCCTTGCCAAGCACCAAGAAGAGGGGTACAAGCACTCACTGCTTTCCTCAGTGCTCATGGGCAGGAACTAGTGACCTCTGAGCTCCTTTACACTCACTTTTCCATGTTCACTTGCCCTCAAGAGATTTCTCCAGCTACATATTACTTCATTTACAGCCTGCCTCCAGAGAGCAGTAGCAGGATCCCCCTGGGAGAAGGGACACCTGGCCATGAAATGGGTCAGGGAAGGTTATCACAGCATTCCTGTGGATGTCTTGCAACTTCCCCCATGTCCCTTGTCACCTCCAGCTTTTGTCCCCATCACATAATAAACTCCAATTGCTGTCCACTGTAGGAAGGCTGCAGTGATGGCTGAGGGATCTGCTTCCCCCCACAACAAGGTGACACCCCAAGGGGATGGGAGCGCCCACAGGACGCGACTACTTCCTGTGTATCTGCTGTAGTGTGTGGCAGGATCTAATCACAGAGCAGCATTGGCTGTCCCTGGCCAGTCCCTCAGCCAGTGTCCTGGCCCCAACAGTAGCAGATTTGGACCCAAGAAAGACAACAGCCAGCAGCGGAGAGAAGCAACATGAGAAGGAGCACACATGGAGAGTGCAGGCAAGACAGCCTGGGGGAGAGGTAGGGGAAAGAGGCTCTGCACAGACTGCTCCTGGGGACCCAGGTGTTTCACAGCCAGCTGGCTGCAGCCATCTTTTCTAGTCCATCTACACTTTGGCCTCCACCATGTCCTGAGCAGTACAGATATCCCACGAAGCAACCAGTGACAGCCTAGAGGCTCTGCTAGGGCTGCGCACGGACAGGTGACACGCTGCCATGCCACACACACCAATGCTGCACCGAGTGGCAGCCCTGCAGGCCAGGGAGCCCAGGGACCAGGCCCATCCGCATCCCTGCACCCAGGGATCCCACAACATCCAGCCGGAGGGATGTCTGGTGGGGAATCAGCTCCGGAAAGCACACCGAGTTTCACCCGGCCTCAGCACTGGCTGCCCACAGGGACGCGGCACCACTTGAGGGCACCGCTCAGGCAGAGCCAGGCGCAGCGGGGCCCCGCGCAGCC